GTCTTATTCGCAGAAAAAAAGTTGAAATTTGTAGACCAGTGTAATAAATAGAGATTTGTATTTATTTAAATACTCAATATTTTTTATAACAGAAACCAAGTAAATTAAAGTGGCAAACTTTACATGTACCTAGTTGAGAAAAATTCAAACATTTTCATAAAAATTTCCAACTTTTTTATCTGAATTTTTTTTTTAACATTTTTGGGTATGCAGCTATAAAGTCAATTTTAACATGAATAACATTGCGAACATTAATCAAAAAATTAACATGTGAACACTTGTTTGAGTCACTGTATTTAAATAGCGCATTAAGGAGGGTTGGGAACTTATTTTTAGGCAAAAACATAAAATAATTTTTTTTGTCTATAAAAGAAGCTGCGAAAGAGCGAAATATTAATGCTTATGTATTTGGTTAAAACGATGATAAGCAACAAAGTCAGTTATGAATAAGTTATCCATAAAAATCCGAAATATGCTAAAATATGCGTTTAACATTTTATGGATATGACGACAATGCTTACAATAGCAAATCACCTAAGCACTAAGCATTGAAGGCGAAAACTGAAACTGATTTTTAATTACCCAATTTATGTAGATTTTATGAAAATTATGTAGTTATAGTGAATAGCAGTGATACGTGCGTCGGCAGTGCGGCTTTGATATGTGTAAGTATTATACATAGATTAACATATATACATATGTATATATGTAATTATATACTTAGTTGGCTGATGCTAGGCCTAAAAAATTACCACCGCAGCAGTGACTTGTTAGCTACATATGCGCTTGACTGAACAGAGACTAGTACGTACACTGGCGATCGAAAGTGCGTGCATGGTGTTTTTTGTTAAATATTTGCAATGTTTTTCAAATTAAAATTTGTTTGCTATTTTTTATAAAAACATGGTTCGTGCATTAATGAAAACATCAAATCATCTAAATCAAACTTTATACAGAATTTGGAAAAAAACTCAACAAATTTTCAACAAAATTTTTAACTTTTTAATCTGCATTTTTAGAAAAATATTTGAGTTGAAAACCCAACTTCTCGATGCCAATTTCCATAAAATCTTGCCCAATATAGTATCGAGATATACAAAATCGATTTCATACTCATGGAGGTGGGCTGCCATCTGTTAAAAAAATCAAATTCCACTGGAGTTAAGGAAATTATTTGTTGAAAATTATATTAAACAAGTAAGAAAGTCTAAGTTCGGGCGGAGCCGAACATTAAATACCCGGCGCAAGTTTTCCACCTTTCCGAAAGCTACCGCTACATGATAAGCCGGGGTGTATACATTTTAAGTAAATTAGCGTCCTTAAATTTCGAAATATTGAAATTTAAAGCATATCTGAAATTTACCGTTATATGAAAAGCGGCCTCAATTTTAGTCCGATTTCAACAATTTTCAACGGTTTGCTTTTATGTGGCAAGCACAATAACCATACCGAGCTTGGTACAAATTGCTAGAACGGTTAGCGAGATACATATATGTGATCACAAGTGGGCGGTGCTACGCCCATTTTCCAAAATTTTGTCATAAACGTATTTCTTGGTAAAGAATTGTTGCAATCATCAATTTTGAATAAATTAGCTTCAATATTTACTGATTTATCGAAGATTTTGTATTTCTCGAAATTACCGTTATATGGGATGTGGGCGGGGTTATTGTCCGATTTTAGAAATTTTCGGCCAGTTGGTATGCTGTACCAGGACCAACAACTGTGCCAAGTTTGGAAGAAATTGGTGTAGCGGTTACCAAGATATACACATGTAACCATAAGTGGGCGTGGCTACGCCCATTTGCCAAAATTTTGTAATATTCTTATTTTTCGTCTAAAACTCATTGCAAATATCAATTTTGAGTGAATTATCTTCAGTAGTTACTAAAATATTGCAGTTTTCGTTTTTCTGAAAATTACCGTTATATGAGAGGTAGGCGTGGTTATTGTCCGATTTTTAAAATTTTCAGCCATTTAGTATGCTGTACTAAGGCCAACAACTGTGCCAAGTTTGGAAGAAATTGGTGCAGCGGTTACCAAGATATACACATGTAACCATAAGTGGGCGTGGCTACGCCCATTTTCCAAAAATTTATAATATTCATGTTTTCCCTCTGAAACTCATTGTAAGTATCAATTTTGAGTGAATTATCTTCAGTAGTTACTAAAATATCGCAGTTTTCGTATTTCTTAAAATTACCGTTATATGGGAGGTAGGCGTGGTTATTATCCGATTTCGCCCATTTTCAATACCATCCGTCCCACGCCCGAAAGAAGTTCACGTACCAAGTTTCGTTAAGATATCTCAATTTTTACTCGAGTTATCGTGTGCACAGACGGACAGACGGACGGACGGACGGACGGACGGACGGACGGACGGACGGACAGACAGTCACCGCTTAATCGATTTCTCTTTTCATTCTGATCATTTATGTATACATTTGTCTATATCTATCTCGATTCGTTTTGCCTGTTACAAACAACCGTTATGTGAACAAAGTTATAATACCCTTGTGCACAAGTGCGCTCGGGTATAAAAATGGGTGTCAAAAGGCTTAAAAAAGTTAAAAAAAGTTGTAGCTTAAAAATATTTTGGAAAGGGTTACCACGCGCTTGAAAAGTCAAATTTAAATTAATTAATTCGCAAGCTATCTGAAAAATTAAAATATGGGTGTCAAACGAAAGATTATTAAGAAACCTTCAAATTGAACATTTAGAATATTGCTGAGTTGTATTACAAGGGTTGCCACCTGTTTAAAAATTAAATTCAATTAATTTAAATGAATTACTACAATATGGGTACTAATCGAAAGGTTTTAGTTGGAAAATATTTCGAAGAAGAGGGTTGCCACGTGT